CGCGTGATGTTCATTACAGCGTAAAAAGTCAACTAGCAGTCCATGGTTATATAGTCAAAGATATGGACATACAAATTTGTCCATATTTATAAAGCTGCGATCCATTTGACGCTACAAACGTTTCGAAGCGTTTGAGCAACCAATCAGAACAAAGAATTTTACGAATTGACTAATCAAAGATTGCTTCGAAGCGTTTGTAACGTCAAGTGGACCGCAACCTTAGGGATATTCCTAGAGCATCCATAAATGTGTATCCTATGGACATCTTACAAAGATGTCCATGGACATCCCGACCAGAAATGGACATGAAACGGATAACCATTGGAGATCCTGTGCTGTCTGGGTAAACTGTTGGTAAGCGTCACTTAGATGCGTATCAACACTTTACAGTTCCCAAAATCTTACCCACATTGAATTTTTTGCATCGATGGCTTTGCGTTTTGGCTTTGCGGAGCTCAAATTGGACTGGCCTGATCTATGGTTTTGTTTATTCATATATCCATGGGTGCTTTCCATTTATAGGCACTTGTGTCAACTTGTGTCGACTTATGTCAGCTGAAGTTAGTAACCTCAAATACGATAAATGGAAAGCTTTCTTATGCGCAAAAGTCGATGCGCACAATTATATGTCTCATATGTAGTACGTCGCATATTAAGTAACGATTAATATTTTGGGGCAGAGCGACGCTTTTTCTTGTCAAACCTTGATTTTTATATAAAAACGCATCGATTGAGTGTATTTTTATCAATATTTGAGGTGATTGGGATATTATATATCTTTATCTAATATAAATGTAGAAAGATATATTGATTTGTAATTTTACTTATATATATTCTCTTGTATGTCTATGTTACGTCCGAACTCCGGTCGTGTGTGCGGATAGATTTAGAGAAAGAAGTAATAAGGTTGGAGCAAGGAAGTTAGAGCAGACGCTGTGTCTCGCATGCATCCGCGGGAAGGGGACAGAGCGAGTCGAACGCACCTTTTATAGCTCTGGAATATGGGTCAACGTCCTGAAGGGACGCTATAACACCTGTTTCCAACGGGCAGTGCAAACGTCAGTCCGAATTTTGAGTCAAAAAACTTAATCCTTGTAACTCGGGACCGGACCACATGCGATCTCTGTCGGGCAGTGGGAGTAGGCACGAGGTCTTACGATTCTAAAATAAATGGAGATTGAAATCCGTCATTTTACAAATACTCTATTTTATTGTTAACACTAAATCTTACAAAAGTATAGCCAAACATTATTTTTAATTGGATCTAAGGTTAAAATTTAAGTCTATCTCTATAAAATAGTACTAAACAAAATCTCATTACAATTTAACGTTCATATCTCTCGCGAAAGATATTAATTGGATACGATCGACTTATCTTACAAACTCTATTAATAATTACACTTATTAATAAAAAAATATATACATATGTATGTATGCGTGCATGTGTGTCCTCGGAAATTTGAAATATCATAGTGGTCGTGACTAGGTCTATGAGTTAGTTGTGTGAGTGTGTATAAGAGAGGCGATACAGGAATTAAGATATAACGAAGTACAACGGAGGAAGGGGGGAAAAGGTTGTGAAAGAATCTCACAGGGACGAGATAAGGAACGGGCGATCGGGGAAGAATTACAGGGATTGTTGCATGGGGTGGCTGTCCAGCTATGGCATTTCTGATTTCATTAGGATCAAAATAATCAGGACCGATTATATAGGCATTTGGTGGGAGAGGTTGTGTTGTACGCGGGAATTTGGCGATTAAGAATTCGAATGAATCCTCGGGATGGATAAAAAAATGGTAACGCGGAGGTGGAGGTGGAAACTCTTCTATGAATTCCACACTCGAGGTCGAAAGGGATGGTGATGGCGGTCGTGGTGAAGGAGGGATGGATTGGTTAGAGGAATCAGAAGTTGGGGGTGAGGAGTCAGGGAAGATTCGCTCGGTTAGAGCGTTCGAAAATGAGGGTGATGGAGATCGAGGGGGAGGTGAAGGAGAAAGAGGAGATATCGCCTCTATTCCTTTTTGACTGGGTTGAGCCGGCGGAGCCGGTGGTGGTGGGGGAGCTAAAGCGTCCTTGGCAGGGTTGCTTTGGTCCCGTAGGTTTTCGCGGTATTCCTAGTACGCCTGGTCCAGGAGTTTCCGCGCTTCAAAATAGGCCCGGCTTTTACGCCAACCCTTGTATGGCCGATTGGTTAAGCGTGGCACTATGGTTAGCTCGAGTTAGATTTCGCTGTGAATACATATATATATATATGTGTAACTTGAACTTACTGCTACTCAGTTTTTATTAGTGTCGAAGGATGGCCGTCGGAGGTTAGCTTCAGTGGTTTCCTGATGGTTGGATGTCCTGTGGACCCACGTGACTTGGAGACACCAAGATGATTTGACCGTGTCGCGGATCACAATTACAATTTAATCGCGGACCGGCAGAGTGTCTTACTTGTAAGACTGGTAAGATCGGAAACCGACAGAGCTTCGTTCGAGTCTAAATTCTTTCTGACTGCTGCTCGCGAAGGGCCTCCTTTTATATTCTCGAGTTAGTGGTCCCGCGTGCAGGCCTCGCGTATGTTACTGGTAATGTAGGATTAGGATTAAGAGTATTGGTTGTGAAACGGTTGTGAAATGGGATACGGGGATATGTGTCTAAAATAACATTCGTCATCGACCAGTTGCCGGATGTTCGATAGCTCAGAGCCACATGTGTCACTTATTATTGACAACCGCCGTTTCGGTTTATAATCCTTAATCTATTTACTTCTTCTGTTCCTCGGGATAAAGTTCTTCTATTCGACACGTGGTTTGAATTTTTAATTCAATGACTCCATCCCGAGTGGATTACTAGTCCAAAAGGCGAGCGTTAATTGGCTCGTCACCATCGTAACTCCCTTAGTAGAAACAGATGGTCTACCGATAATAATCTTTATGGTGATGACGAAAATTCTAATCGAAGAAAAGAACTGTGGAGTCTGGACGTAACATCTATAATTAAAATAGTTTTGCAAAATGAATAGGTCATATTTATGAATGTAATTTGTTTAGCAAAAGGTTTCGATAGTGAAAGGTAAACGAAATATAATTTTCCTGTAATCACAAATAAAAACAGGTCTTTATTTAATGTATTCGATTTTAATCGGGGACAAAGAAAACATTAGAGAAAACTGATGATTTTATATTTTCTTGCTATTATCCGATGGTCAAATCCATATATTACTGAGTAAGAAAGATGTTCGAAAGAGCAGGATAGTAAATATCCCAATAATCCTAATGTAGATAAAAATCTTTAACCTAATGAATACAAATAAGCTTAATACGAAGTATAAGGAGTAAGAATAACATAGGTGTTATTAAATTATAAATGAGTATGAAAACTATAAGTATTATTACAATATTAATGGAATACTAATAGTGGAAATTACAAACAAGTTACCTAGTATCTTTAATATCCAGCTCTTCTAAAAGAGGCGCTCGAATACAAATGCGAAGAATGAGTCAGTTCTATTAATTTAAGCGCTCAATCAGGATATTAGAATGAAAGCTATGATCAAACGCATGAAATTTGGAAACATATAAAATGATATCTTAATTAGCTAGAAATAATACGTAAGTAATAAATCCTGTTAATAAAATTGAATATAAAGCAGATGTAAATGTTATAAGCACACGAATTAAAGGCGAGTACATACGCACACATCCTCCAAGGTGAATACGAGTTACAATTGAAACGTACTTCTCGTTTAATTCTATCATTAGTGAGAAAACACGCAAGCTTTCAACGCATTATTTGATAGCGACTTATAATTATCCGGTCGAGTAAGAGAGACTTAACAAATGATGATTCCGGACAATAATGTTTCGGTTTTAGTTAGGAGGTTAAAATCCGTGTTATAGTTTGAACAATCTAGATTTTGAGGCTAAACGATCAGCTCGTAGGTATACTGAATCGAAGCTTGCGGAACCTTCCCACTTCCCGCACAAAGACGGTAGTTTTGTTACAGGCTGGATTGCAAGTTATATTTTACCTTATATTGAGGAAGAATCCTCTTAGACAGATACTACTCACAGAATTGGCGGATACAATTAACCTTTCTGTTTAGCGGTATGATTCCCAAAATGAGCTTTCGAAGGCGGTTGTACCCAGCGATAAATAAAAGGATGAAAGCTCTGCGGTTCGTGTGTCTGAGGCGTCCACTGCGGCTGACCCGGAATTCCCCGAGAGAGAGAGAGAGAGAGAGACTTAGTGAGTGGTCGGCCTACCCCACGTTGGTAGGGATCTCTCGGGGATGAAAACTATACTCATCGGGTCTCCTAGGCGACTTCCGCTCTGAGAAGTCATATACCTTTGTAAAGGCGGCTTGTTTAAAAAGCCATATACCCATGCGATCAAAATGACGCAACAATCACCAAGGCGATTGTTGTTACCTGAGATTTAGCGGTTAGCCCCTTCAGCGAACTTTAGCGGTTTGCCCCTTTGGCGAATTGTAAATGACCTTCCTCTCCGAGTCAGTACCCACAGCCAAGTCTTCTGGGAAAAGGCCACCCTTCTGCGATCGGGTTCGGGATTACGCAATCCTCTTGCGTATTAGCCAACGTTCTTTCCGCTTGAATATATTGCGTTGAAGAGAGAGGTCCTTCCGCTTGGAAACTCTTGTAGAAGAGAAGAGACAGGTTTTCCATTTGAGATCTCGTGTAGAGGCGACAGGTTTTCCGTTTGAGATCTCGTGTAGAGGCGACAGGTTTTCCGTTTGAGATCTCGTGTGAAAATCAGTTAGTACTTCGCGAGCAACCGACAGACGAACGAACGAACGACAGAGAGAGTGGTGGGGGAGAATATGGCGCTCTAGCGGAAAACCGACCCGCCACCACTCTACGCACCGCGCCACCTACGAGCTGATAGCGATTGCCATTTTAGCGCGCGAGGTTCTCCCAAGTCCCGCGCGCGGGAGCTCTGATTCAAACAGCCTACTCGCAACATAATTTAATAATAAATAAATTTTTCAATAGATGAATGAAGATAATTTACTTGCAATAAATTTATTGGAAAATAACAGTACCAGCAATGATGATGATATAGATAGCAGTACTAGTTCATCAAATTCTAGTTTATCAGATGATAGTATAGAGTATAATCCATTTTTGGAAAACGATATTTATGAAGAAGATTTGCTGTTTCCTCTTCTTCAACTTTTAAATAATGGTCGTAGGCGACAACATGTTGAAGATTTTCTTCATGTAGTACATGCAAAAAGTAATGAAGAATTTAGAGAGGATTTTAGATTAACTCGTCCAATTGTGTATCAGTTAGTAGGTGATTATTATATTATTAATTATAATATTAATTTTATAATAGATATATTTGTGATGAAGTAATGTCAAATTAATTACATACATATATTCTTTATAGAATCTTTAGAAATAAGTGGATTTATACCATTACATGGATTTGGGAAAGAAAACAAATCTGCAGAGTTGTGTTTATTGATGTCTCTTTGGTTCCTCAATAATAAAGAACCACATCGAACACTATCCAATCTTTTTGACATATCAATATCATCTGTATTTCGCATTATACGTCGAGTTATTAATTGGCTAGTTACCTTAGTGCCTGAAGTTATTGTATGGCCTGAAGGAAATAATATAACTAAAGTATCTCGCAAATTTGAAGAAATAGCAGATATCCGTAACTGTGTTGGAGCCATAGATGGCTCTCATATTTTTATTAATAAACCTGAAGAAAATGGTAAGGAATATTTTAATAGGAAGCAGTGTTACTCAATTCTTTTACAAGCTGTTACCGATAGTAAGATGAAATTTACTAATATATATTGTGGCGATCCAGGCTCTTTTCATGATGTCCGTATGTTGAGAAGATCTGAGCTATTTCAAGTTGCTGAACAGGAAAGAGAAAACATTTTTCCAAATAATACGTTTTTATTAAGAGATAAAGGTTATAATGGAATAGCAAAAAAATGGATTGTCTCTCCTTTTAAAGATAATGGTAATCTTACGATAGAACATGTAGAATTTAATAGAAAAATTTCAGCAACTCGAGTAGTAGTTGAAAGAGCTTTCGGTATTTTAAAAGGCCGATTTCGACAATTACAAAAATTACCGTTATATGATACCCATTTTATGACTTGGATTATAATAGCATGTTGTGTACTTCATAATATATGCATAAATAATGGAGATGACGGTGACGATTTTTATATTGAAGAAGATATAGAACAAAATGAGTTAAACTGTAACGAACAAAGAGACGAAAATGTAAATGCAGGAAACCTGGATCGTCGAACATTATTGTTTCGAGAAATGTATCCTTGTAATAATTAATCATGTAATATAATATGAAATTTCTGACCTATAACTTGCACAAGAAAATATATAACTTGCACAAGAAAAAATGTCAAAATTGGTCAAAGGTACACCACCTTCCCCTACCACTATTTTAGTTACTGTAACATTGAGAATAACTCAATCGGCGTCGAAACGTTTGTTTTGAAAATTATTTTTATTTTTATTTTTTAAATTAACATTCTTTATTACATAACTGACTCTCATACAAACTTAAAAAGAACAATTCCTAATGACTATTAACAGCGAACATGTA